TTGATATGTATTATAACAAATTAGAATATCATTATTATAACAATAATTGAAATGTAAATATTTCTATCACTACTACTAACTTTTTAGTATTTTCATCCTTTTGAAAGGTTATTAATTACCCTTTAACAACCATATTCTGCATTTTTTTTATCTAAACCTTCAAATTCAAAATATCGTATAATAAATCGTTTATATCTAATTTTTTTAAAATAAGATTGATTTAAATGACATAAATATTTTCTTTTCTTAAAAAACTTTTTAATTTTTAATTTTAGTTCGTCAAAAATTTCATCTTCAATAAAACTACTAGGAATTTCTATAAACTCAAATTTATTTAAGTGAATATTATTCTTAAAGTCAGATATTTTCTTTAATTTCATTTGATACAAAATTAGACTATTACTCATCTTCTGAATCTGAATTTTCAACAAAAAAAAGGTTGTTTAAATCTTCTAAAGCATCTAAAATATCTTTATTTATATTATTATCATTAGAATAAATTCCATATTCCATCTTTTTATCAAAAATATAAAAATTAAAAAAAGATATTAAAGTAATGAAATAATGACTTACAATTATTTTTTACATAATATATTTAAAAAAAAGAATTTTCAGATAGATTAGATCATTAAATATAAGATTATCATAAAATCTCAAAATCTAATTAGTCAGTCTATTTTCCTCTTTTGCTATAGGTATTCTCATATATCAAATCTTAATAAATAGTTTTATTTAATAATTAGATATAATCTTTATATAATTTATATATAATAAATAAAACTAGATTTAAAATTTATTAAATTATATATCTTAAGATAAACATCTTTATCTTTTATTACCATTTATTATTTCAGAAATTAACATTCTGTTATTAGTAGTATAGATACTAATAGCTATTCTTATTACTATTCATATAAGATCAAGTACTCATATCATTGAATGATAATCAACAATCATTTTAAATTTATCTAAAAAATGAACATTCAGATGTGATGACAAATAGTCTATAATTTGAAAATAAATTAATTATTACCAAATAAAAGTCTCTAGATATGTATTATTAACCAAGTAATAGTTTTATTTTTACCTATTTATTCTGACATTTAATCAATTAATGATAAATTGTTTATCTGCAACTATATTCAAAAAGAAATGATCTTTTATACAAAATTCTCTTTATACATCTCAGCAACTTGCAGTATTTCTTCATCTGAGTTTAGGTTAGCTTCTGACTCTAGAATTATAACATCAGGTGATGGGCTAAGATATCTAAGACTTAATTTAGAAAGAATAGCATATTTACAGTTTTTGCATTGAAATTTTTCTTATAAATTTATTTTTTTTTAAATATAAAGATTTTTTAAATTAATTAAGAAAATAACATATTAGTTAATATTTAATATTACTTATTCACATAACGTTTAGAATATATAGTAGTAATCATTAGTAATGTCATAATACCTAATAGAGTATATTTTCATTTTCAGGCATTTCATCCTCCAAAAAACTCCACTTGCAAATATTTTATGTATTTTCAGCTGGAATTCAAATGCTACTATACTAATTGAGCTCAAAATCTTTGAATATCGCTAAGCTTCTTTTATTATAATTAAGAATGTGATTAACACTGTTATTGAATAATATTGTGCTATAATAAAGTCAAAAGTTCTAGCTTTTTCAACATATAAAATTTTAGCATTTTGAAAGTGAAGAAAATTTTCTAAGATATATACACATTTATATCATTATTCATTCTTGAAGAGAATATAAGCAAAATTTCTAAAGAAAATTTGAAAGAGGTAGAGCTATGTTATTGAAGAATTATATGGAAAGAACATTTTTAACTTTAGTATTTATCAGACATATAGGTTAGTATTATAATTTTAAATTCTATTTATTACTCTTTAATCATTATATCTAAAGAAATCTTTATGATTATTATTTCAATTTGTAATTAGATGCACCATATGCAGAAATATTCTATAAGTATCATTCAGAGAGATAGTCATTTGTATATACTAATTTACTTTTTATATAAAAAAAATATTTGACAGGAATGGTAATTCTTTTTTTTCTTTCTTGTACAATCACTATCACAACTTTTATTATTGAACTATCAAAACTCACTTCATCAATTTAGTCAGATAAATATGAATATGAAGCTAAAGAATAAAGATGAGCATGGTATTTATTATGAGCGTTTAATATAAATAAAGAATAATATGCAAATGCATTTATTTTACTTATTTCAATATTATTTTATTATTATCTTCAATTGATATTTATTTTACAAGGAAATCAGTAGAATATAAACATAATTATTTTGAAACAGTTAGGTTAAGAGATGCATCAGATCATAAAAATTATGTATCTAATATGATTGGTACATCTTTTAAGATGTTAGTTTGTTAGTTAGTAAAACAGTTAATATACAAAATGCAATATTTCACATTACTAATTTAATGAAATTGACATTAAAATTTTTATATTTTAGGTTATTTGCTAGAAAAGGTGAATTTGAAATAGGATTTGAGATATATTCAAACATATAAATATACTTTTAATGGTTGACTTCCAATAATAAAATATTATTATTGAATTAGTATTTCAAGAAACTAAATTTATAATTTTTTACTTTAAATGCTCTTTTAATTAATATTCTTGAAAAAGTAACATTCGTTGTGAGTTTAAGGTAGCTAATCTTAAAATGGAAAAATGCTGATATATAAGAAAATAAATTCATTAGAATCTTTGGGATTCAACAGAAACTAATTAAATTTAGGTATTTACCTAAGAAATTAATAGTTAATACTCAGTTAAAGGAAAAGATTCTTTTTTTTTGAAAAATATCAATTATGAAGATCTATTTCTTATTTTTTTTATTATTTTCTTTATTTCATAATATATTTGCAAATCATTTGATATATCTTTACTAAATTACTTACTAGCTTAGAAAGTTGTTTGTATTATCACATGTAAGTAGCTTTTATTTGTTGATATTTCAATAGATACTGTATAATAATGTCTTTTGATTTAACGAAAAAAGTTATAAAAGTCAACGAAAATAAATAAACTTTGATAATGTTTCTCTGTGAAATTAAAAGAAATATAATTTGAAGTAGGCTATTTAAAAATGAGTGGGATTGTACAATATAAAATATGTAATTTTTTAATTAATAAATAAATTAACTTTAATATAATTTTTTTTATTTTATGGAGTTTAAAAAAACCTATTGTAAATTTAACTAAAAGTATTTATTATAAACAAATAGTATAATCATAAACTTTAAAATTATCAAAATTTAATCATTAACTATAAAGAAATTTATTTAGGAAGTAAATTTGAAGGAAAATATTGATTTTTCTATCAAAAATTACCAGGTAAATAAATGCGTGTTATCTATATATTTATTAAATTTAACTCTGAAATCATACGAGTTTTTTTAAAGAAACAAAAAAAAAAGAATATTTGGAGTCTGAAAAAAGAAAAATGTCACTACAATATTAGATAAGTTTTCATATTAATAATATAATAATTTCAAGTAATAAATTAAAATTCACCAAATCATTTATCTCTTATTAAGAAGAGAACGAGTAGAATAAATGGGCTTTTGATCATAATCTACCATATTAATTTGTAAGTTATTCCTCATTCTCTTAGAACCTTCAGTCTGAATTGGTTTTACTTGTTTCAAATTGTTGACTTTTTGAATAGGTTCCTTATTCTTAAGCCTCTTTTTGTCCTTTTCTTCATTTTCTTTACGTGTATTTATAGGTGAAAACACATTCGCAAATCAAAATTCATGTTGAGTATTGGAAACTTAACCTCTTCTAAACTGTTATTATATTTTGTATTAGATATTTTAGATTAATTTGCACCTCAATACTGCCTGTATTGAACACTTTTACTTTTACATTTTGCAAAGCTTTGCAATCTACCATTGGCATGTTTTTGACATAAATTATAACCTTATAAGTAATTCTTTAAAAAAAAAAAAAAAATAAAAATAAATTTGGTTAAAAATAAAATACCAATATTTTTCGCATTTAAGTGAAATAGTTTTTGATTTTTACGAGTATATCATAAGTAGAATAATACTTCATTTCAAAAGTGAACAATAAACGTAGAGAATTTTACAAGCAAGTCAAGAGGATAAATTCATTAAATAAACAAGTACTCTTCTAAACTAATTATATACTGTTTGTATTAAATATTTAGCATGAAATTAAATAAAACTTACTTTATAGCAATCACTTCTTTATAATCATTCTTCATCATTAGAACTACAATATATATTTGTTAAAAGTTAAAAAAGAGTTGAAAGAATTGAAAGAAATTCAAAAAGAATAAAATAAAATAAGGGCTTGAAGGCTTAAAATTGAACGTGTGTAAAAGAGATTTAGAAAACGAAAAAAAAAAGTTTTGCGAAAAGTATTTTATGCTATATGAATAATTGATAATCGAATCTTTATAATAGTACCATAAGACTAGTGAACTACCCAGGATCACCAACAAAAAATCATTTTCACGTGACTTTTTGGCCAGAATTATGGCATTAACCGTGAGTTAAGGCATTATGTATGTGACGAATAGTGGTGTGACGGATAGGATTTTACACACCTCTGTCCCTGGAATACTTAGTTGAAATTGCCTCATATCATCACCAACAAAAAATCACTTTCACGTGATCATATAAAAAATATTCATTTTTTACTTCCATTTCAAAATTAAAAACACTCACAATAGAAATAATCAGAAACTAGAAATAACATTATATCTTTACTAAAAAAAACGTTTACATGTTTCGAAAAGAGGTTCCCAAAAAATATTTCTGCTAAATCGAGATGTTATGATTGAAAGAAAGAGAAAAGTAACGTTCTCTTCAAAAATTGTTGGATATTTATGGAAATCATCCCAAACTTAACATGAACATGAATTTTGGATGATATTATATATCAAATCGCATGTATAAAAAACTTATGAATATCGAAGAAACATAATGATGTTGATAATAGTTGTCAAACAACAATTTCAAACAAATCACCCGACAATATTGTCAGATATTAATGATGCTCCTTACCGCAATTCAATGGTTGATGAAGGTGATGCTCAAGGGTTGCTGATATATCATTTGTCAGTCGATACCGATGGCAAAATAATCTTCGATGTAAGCGACGCTATACCTGATAAAGATAAGGATATATTCTTCCCTAAATCGTCGATTCGGTTGTCGAGCATGATTCAACACTCTTAATGTTAATTCTAAAGGAAATCTAAATCTGAAAACTATTTCAACATAATTTGTTTTCAACATTAGTGTTAGTATTATTGTATTTTCCTTCTGATAGAAGACATATAATGTTATATCTAGATCAGGTGTTTATTATCAAAATAAAAAAATCAATTCCTATTATACTACCCTCTTAAATCATTATTTTTCTTTTCAATGATAGAATCACTTAAATCGGTACAATGTTCATATAAAAGTTGAACTAACAAAATGAAAAGGTTTATTGGGTATGAATGCGCTGAAGCGGTTTTAACGTCCAAATAGTTCCAAAATCCTAGGATTTATTAAACTCAATGAACCTATAATAAGCATAATTAAAATTTAATTCAAATCCGAAAAAGTATATAAAGAAAGTGCATATATACAAGTTCACACCACGGCATAATTACGAACCAGATCGCAAAGATAATTAAGATAATTCCAAGACATCACAAGTCATTCTTAGTTCATGTCTACCAAGATCAAAGAAACTTTCACAACAATATAAGTTTAAGCAGGTTTGGAAAAACTTGAACCCAAAAGATCATGAATTGGACGTTCGTATTCGTTTTTATAAGCTCCAGTAGTTGTAATTTCGGCATTATCAATCAAAGGTTATCTATATTTAAGCATTTAAAGGAACGAATACGAAAACAAATTATCAATTATTTATGTAAAATTTAAAGAATTAAGCTAATAATCGATTTGCAACATACCATTTGATAACGCTATAACTTGGTAATTTTATTTCAAATATTCCCTTATTTGTTTAATAAATCGATAATTTTTGTGCTTGCAAACAGTAATTCCCGCATCATCAACTTCAATCGAACTAACTCACAAAGTATAAAAGTGCAATTCCTTCCATAGATACAAAATAGCTGACAAGGGTTTATCCTCATGTTTATCTCTACGAACTAGGTTTTTGTTTTAAAAAAAATTAAAAATATAAAAGGAGAATTTAAAATTTAAGATTATAAATCACGTGAATTATTATAAATCATTAAAAATATTATAATACCATATTCCGTCTGGTCTAAATTACCACGTTTGCCATCTTTGTGGATCTTATTGCTCTGTTCTGTTGTTATTATACACGTAATTTTGGTGCTGAAGACGGTTTGTTTAAATATCAGAAAGCATTTCGAAGTGAAGGTATCGGAATACTAGCATAATAGATAACAATTGACACATAATTATTCAATAAATACCAGATGATAAATGAATTGGTGTGCCTTCATCCAAATAGCCAATCTTCGGAAATGACAGGAAAACACTATCCGACAATTAATTAAAGATAAATTTTCAAAGTAAGATTTTCCTTATCAGAAATTCTTTGGCATCC